GATACGAGACAATCTCCAACGCGCCGAACAAGTCCTTCAGGAAGCTGACAAACTCGGCTGCCGCAAATTCTTGACACCAAAATCTCTTGTTGGCGGTAACTCCAAACTCAACCTCGCCTTCGTCGCTAACCTCTTCAACAACCACCCTGCTCTCGAACCCATCACAGACGAAGAAAAGGTAAAGGTCAAAGTGGAAGATTTCGATGCTGAAGGCGACCGCGAAGCCCGCGTCTTCACCCTCTGGCTCAACAGTCTTGATGTGCGGCCCCCTGTGGTCTCCTTCTTTAATGATATTGGCAACGGATATGTCCTGCTCCAAGCCTTCGACAAGATTATCAAAGGCAGCGTGTTTTGGCGTGGTGTGCGCAAACCAAGATCCCTCGACAACGACCCCACCAAAAACAACAGTCCACAAATTGTCAACCCCGACGATGAGGAGTCCGAAAGCGAACATCTGGAGAGAATTCTTGATATGGAGCTTTTCCAGGCTCTCCAGAATACAAATCAAGTGATTGATATTGGTAAAAGGCATGGCATGAGCCTCCAAAACACCGAAGGCTCCAATATTACAAGAGGCGATAGAACACTTACCTTGGGATTCGTGTGGCAGCTTATGCGCAAGGACATCAACGTAACGCTAGCCTCGCTCGCTCAGAAGCTTGGGAAAAAGGAAATGACGGACGAGATCATGGTCGACTGGGCCAACAAGATGGCTCACAAGGGCGGCCATACGTCATCCATACGCAGCTTCAAGGACCGATCCATCTCATCCGGTGTATTCCTCCTGAATGTGCTGAAGGGCATGGATAGCAACTACGTTGATGACGAACTTGTTACGGCCGGCGACAATGATGAGAGGGCCTACATGAATGCCAAGTTGAGCATCAGCATTGCCAGAAAAATGGGAGCGACTATTTGGTTAGTTCCGGAGGATATTTGCCAAGTTCGCTATAAATTGGTGACTTCTTTTGTTGGTAAGTTGAGAATTTCCTCCCCGTGAAACCCGGGACACTTGGATCTTGGCTAATAGCAAGCAGCCTCTTTGATGGCGACACATGAAAAGTTGTAGATGTGATTTATCGGGCTACGACGAGCGTGGGATGTGTCTGAGAGAAAAAGCGCAGCTTAGGTGAAATTACATATATTATGCACCAGTTCAATTTCTTACATGTTCTGTACTATCATTGCCCAAGACCTCTCCCCTCCGGAAAAAAAAAGCGCCTTTCATTTGTTGTCCATGCCCAATGAATGCTCCAAATCAAGTTTTACAAGATTAGATACAAGCTGCACAACAGACTTGGACCTGTGAATATACCCAACCAAAAAATTAGATTTCCCAGCGTTTTCCGACCTTTTAACCATGTTGTACGACTTAGTCGGACCAACTGTAGCTTATATTAGCTTTGCAACCGGAATTGAAACAAGACAAAGCCAATACGTACCGGTAGCTGACACATTTGCAAAACAAGCAAGTACCCCCTCAATTTATTGAACAAGCACCACATGACGAGCTCATGGATGCATGCGGACAAGAAAAAGGTTATCAGCGTGGCAGTATGTTTGTTTACTTTCATAGACGATATGGACGAGTGGTAGACGTGGCGAAGGAGGAAGACGTGTACGGGACGATTCCAGTCGCGTGCGAATTGGTCCCAGGATACTGTACCCGTTAGCTGGCTTCCGGGCTTCAAAATGGGTCGAGATGGGGTGTTCATGCACATAGAGGAATAGATGCAAACATACCGCTATTCCACCAGGCGTCATAGAAACTACGGTCAGCAAAGTACGTGAGTTCGGCAAGGACGTTGAGAATGGTTTCCCAGATGAGATACCAGACAAGCTGTTAGGTATTAGTCACGAACACGGAGATGACGGACAAGTATGCAACAGATCATTATAGAGAAGGGCGTACCAGATACTCCATCATAAATGGGAAAATGAGATCAAGCAAAAGCAGGGGAAATTCTCGAAATCGAGCGGCCAGTGGTAGTCCATTCTCCTTCATCTGCACCGTCTTCATTACCACCGGATCTGTACAGGGATTAGCCTTGTCGAGAGTTGGCAAGAAAAGGGGGGACGCTTTACATATGGAGTACTGTGCCACCTGGTTCATCACAAAAAGCACCCCAACCATGGCGACCAGCTTTTCGGCAACATATTTCCAACTAATTCCTTGAGAGCGCGGGTATTCCAGTTCGTAGACCAGCGTCGGCAGGGGTATCCATTCGTAATGACCCAAGAATGTCAGGTTGTTCGGATATGCCTTGTTTGGATCACTGGCCGTTCCTCTGAGCTCGTCTGCCAATGCATCCACTTCCCACTTGATGATTCGTTCAAATACTGCGATTTGTTCGTCGTTCAGAGGTTCACGCGATGCAATTACCTTTGCAATCCTGTCAATGTCTGTCTCTTCCGTTTTAGGTATTTGTGAGAGAGAATGGCGGCGTTCCATGGCGGTTGGAGGGGCTCTGAGGTGGTCGGTTGATAAGCTAGACACCTGTGGCACAGCAGATGATGGCTCCTCGGATGGATGAACATGATCGAGCTGCTTCAATTTAGAGAGGAGAAACAGGCGTTCCAAATAGACTGTCGAGAGATGTCCGTTGTAAAAGGCATAAGAGTGCTGCTTCATAAGCATGACAATGCCATGTAGCACGAAAAAGACAGTATGAGTCCACGGCCAGTCACGGACATGGGTCCAAGCAATGATGCCGGTGATGAAGAGGGTCTGCCAGATCTGCCGCTTTGAGTTAGTTGATGTAGCCTCGGTATTTGTACTAGTGAGGCCGTACGTTTTGTACAATCCACCCGCTTCGATCCCAATCGACCACGCGGTGGTATACCAATTTCTGAATGAGCCAGCTTACACCGGTGAGCCCACACATGATTCCATCCGAAAGCAGGAGCACAATTACTGCCAAGCCTAGTTAGCAAAAATAACAAGTTTGTTAAAAACGCTTTGCTTGCTTGCCCTACCATCCCGATGAAACATGGTCTTCATAATCTCGTTTGACCCCAATGGAGTGCCATACGCTCTCCAGTTATTCACGGAAATCTTCAGGACAAACAGGGCCACAGCCAGCCAAAAGAGAGTATAGAAGCCATGAAAAGGACTATTTGCCGCGGCCGAATTATGGGGATCAAAGGCCGAAAACTGGTGAGTAAAAAAATGGTCACGGAACTTGCGCTTCTGTTTAGCTGCCTTGTCTGGATGTTTAGCGGTTTCCGAAGTACGTCGAAGCAGCTCTTGGAGGGCCTTGTCGTTTGCAGGATATATTCTGATTCTGCCCGAGTCATCGCGAACTGTGGTTGAGTCAACTTGACCAGAGAGAAGCTCCTTTTTGCTTATACGCCTCTCAGTCTTTCTCCTCTGCAATAGTTGCTGCTGCTGCTGTTGCTGATGCTGATGTTGTTGGTCCTGGCCCCCGATGGCATATGCTGGGCGCACATTTTCATCGTAATCTTCTTCGCTGGGTGTTTCAGAAGCGGGTCCGGAGCTTTCCAGCGAGATGCCGGCCTCGCGCAGAGCTTCGCCGAGAGACCTTGGTTGTGCCTGGCGAGGATGGTGATCTGGGGGGCCGCCGTTGACAGCATCCACATGCCGCGTGGGCGGGGCGCTGAGAGCCCGCTCATCTGGAGTCTGCGTCATGGTACTGTGCATAGCGCCAATCCTCATCAGGATCTTCGGCGTCGGGGGTAAAAAAAGATGACAGAGAAAGGCGACTGTGTGCAAAGTTCGATTTTGCACCAGTGCAACCTAAGCATTGGAGGCCAGAAAGATCAAAAGGGGCGTGTGGTTTCACTGTTGAGTGCGTGGTGGTAATGCCAGGCAACTTGAGCCCACCTGCAAGGTCGTGCCTGCCGTTTATTCCGATGTCAATGTCGGCAGCTGTCTTGGCTTATGTCTTGTAGGACATTGCCGTGGTGCGGAAGGTGCGGGATGTTTCAAAGGCTAAGTTGTGTAGGCACTCTTCTTCTGAAGTTATGTCGTTAAATGCGCCGTCTAAATGGCACGAGCAGTGTTGCGGTCTTCGTGGCAACAGCTGTCTTTATCTTTGTATTCCATTCGGAAGGAATGGAAAAACTGTGATGATACAAGGTCTCATGATCTAGTGCCTAGTTTCAACATGTGCAGTCGGCAGTCGGAAGTTGTGGTATTCTGCGGTGTCCGAGCTGGAGCTTGAGATCCGAGCAACCCGTGAACTTGACAAGTCGACAGCCAAAATAACAACTGATAGAGCGCTAGCTTAAAGCTCTGCACGATCCCGAACCTAACCTAGCCCCCGATTGTTCATAATCCCCGCGAGAACAATCCACACTCGCGCTGTGGATTATTCGTGTCCGTCGGACTGTTGCATTGTCCGCCCTCTCTGGGCCAGTCTGTGTAAGTCATGATTCAATGCTGCAGGTTTACGCATCGCCGGTACTCTCAACTTGGGAGGTACTTTGATGTACTTCGATATTTCTGTGGATCATGTCCGGGTTGGCCGCGAGCGGTTATTCTCAAAAAGCCGGGCAGCAAATCACAACCCGTAAATGGTTCCTGTATTTCAACAGAAGAGTTATATGGATCGACATCCTACATTATGAATTGTCAGCTGCGAATTACGAAATTTATACTGCCGTGAACCTTTATTTTTTCATATTTCCTGCCATGTGCTTGACAACGCCCCCCGATGACATCAACTTGACGGGTTGACGGGCTACCGTTGCAAGACTCGGCAACCAGTCAGGCGACACGTCTCCACTTTTCGCCTCAATGATTACATCAGCAGGCAAAACTTTACAGCCAATCTAGTCGACACTGATACTCTGCTTCACCACTCCGCCAACCACGGCTGAACCATCCAACCTGCCAGCCTCACCAGCGGTTACATCCTCATCAACTTCTTCTTCCCCAGTTGGCGCATTGTCCAGAACTGTTCCGTCAGTCCTGCAATATTAGCTCTAGATCCATAGCCCGCTCTCCCAACTCTCCTCAACCGCAGCACCCAGCAATCATGTCTCGCGGCGGCAACACCCTTTACGTTACCGGCTTCAGCCACGGCACCCGCGCTCGCGATCTCGCCTACGAGTTCGAACGGTATGTCAACCACGCTCACGCTCTTCGCCTTCGTTGCCGTCCTCCGTACCTCGCCTCTCCGCCCACCACCCCGTCCTGTCTCGCCGACGAGAGATAGATCCTCCCGGCATCCTGTCCTTTTGCCTAGGCTCGGTGTCGCTCCAGATCAGCCCCCGTCGTCTCGTCGTGCCTTCGTCTTCGTCGCAACCGCCTACCCGCCCCAACTTGTCCCTCCCCATGCTCTCTCCCACCTCTTTCACGTCGGTCGTCGGTATGCTAGCTCGCCTCGAGAAGCGCTCTTCGTTCGGGTCGATTTTTAGCCTGCACCTCGGCGCGTGCAAGTGATACGTTTTCTGATATCAGCCCTCGGTGGCCAAACTCGATATTGAATTTATCAACTAGAGTACCAAACGTACGTTGTTCTACTGATGAAAATACTGACAAGATGTTACTTTAGCTATGGACGTCTAGTTCGTTGCGATATTCCAGCTCCGCGGTCTTCATCTAGCCGACTGTAAGTTTGACACGGTACTCTTAATTTTTTTTTTCTACCACGGCACATATACTAACCTTTTGCGCCAGCTTCGCCTTCGTCGAGTACGAGGATCGACGGGACGCCGATGATGCTTACTATGAGATGCATAACAAGCGTATCGGTCGTGACGATATTTTGAAAATTGAGGTACGTTCTCCGTCGTGATTACCTGCGAACAAATACAGGATTTTTGTCTAACACTGCGCAGTGGGCCAGAACTCCTCCTTCAGCATCATGGCGATTTGAGTCAGGTCGTGACCGTGACCGTCGCGGTGGTGGTGGCGGCAGCGGCAGTGGCAGTGGCGGCGGCCGATCTCCTCGTCGTGGCCGGTCCCCGTCTCCTCGACGGAGCACGCGAGACTACTCTCCGCGCAAGGATGACCGCCGTGACCGTGACCGCGACTACGACCGCGACAGCCGTCGGGATCGCGACCGCTCTCGCAGCCCTGATACTCGGTAAGTCTCAAGTACGTCATCGAGGCATGAAGCTCGAGTGGCTAAATCTTGCCCTGCAGCGACCGCGATCGTGATGCTAAGGACGACCGTGATGATCGTGACCGCCGAGAAAATGGGACCAACGGCGATGACAGAAAAGGTAAGTGCAAACGATGGCGAGTTGCCCTCACGGCAATGGACCAGAAGCTGACTCGACGTAGGCGACGACAGCCCTCCTCCTGCTCGCGACGACGATCTTGATGTGGCTGAGTAGACAGAAACAGCTTGGTAACAATCAGTCTGGCGCCATGATTGGAGCTATTTTGTCGGGTAATTTGATGGCATCCTTTATCTCCCGATGTCTGCGCACCGCGACACGATTGTTATCCATTTCCCCGTTTTTCCTCACTCATGGTTCTGTATTGTTCTAGTTTCCAGTCGGTCGATCGAGACGGAAATATAGCGTCGTAGAAAACTCGGCGAGCAGTGTCATACTGGTAATGCCGCCCACAGGATGCTTGTTCGACTTAAAAAAAAATGTAGGGACAAGGCCGAGGCTCGAAAGCACATCTCAGGCTAGTTAGAAAGTGATTTGTACGGATAGGCTTATACTTGACATTGAATTTAATTGACCAGACTACAACAAATAATCTGTGATGGATACAAATGGTGTACTACGATGCAGTAGTTGATTGCGTCCGCTGGAGATCAACTTATCTATCGTTGCGGCGGTTGAAAGCTGGTTTGCTCGCATTTACGACAGTGTGATGGGTGGTTGTAAAATGGAAGTACAGGTAAGTTTGGAATGTGGTCTCAGCAATCACGGCCTCGTCTGAAACTGAGATGGACAACTACCAGTCCGTACGTACTGGCCGAAATGACGGGTGTCGGCCGGGACAGACGTTGGTGCTGGCACAAAGCTCCATTGGAATGACGGACGTATAAAAATGAAGCGAATGGACAGAGTATAGAAGTGTTGACAGACGCGGTGCTTCCGGGCCTTGGAGCATTGGTTTTGATTATTTCGCAGCGATGCTAATGGCTTTAATTTAGTTGATACCAAAGATAACATCGAAACTGCTGGGGCTGGGGAGATGCAGGTTTGGCTGATGCTGGCTGGCCGGCTGGCTGGCACAAGCTGAGTCCGTGACTGGTCCAGGCCCTTTGCTCATCGTGATGACAGCCCTGTGGATCGTTTCTAAAGCTGGCACAGGCTTTCAAAGTTGCTGACATGTCAACAGTGCGTCAACTAGCTCGTTTGTGCCCCATTTGAAGACACGCATTGTCTTGAGTGTTGGCTTTGACCGTGAGGCTCAGACATATTGGCACAGATGCGAGCACTTGAGGTCAACTGGTGCTGGCTGACCGGGGTCCACTTCCAGCGGCACCCGGGCGCTCCAGCGCACATGTGCACCTGTGCAATGCGGTCTGGTTGCTGAGCTGGCCCCATCACAGGGCCTTGCTGGCCCGTAAATGTCCACTAATGGCCACGAGCACGCAACATAGCCGCTGGAAGTGTAATCGGCCAAGCCTAGTGCTCACGCCCGCCAATCCCTCAGCCTCCCTCCTGGCCCTCCCTTCCCGACAACGCCTCGGGTGACTCTTCCCATTCTTTTCCCCCGTCGACTTGCCCTCGGTATTCTTCATCACCATACCTGCGCCCAAGCACGACGACAGGGTTCCTTTGCAACGTAGTCTGCAGAGCTTCAACCCGGACATTTCATCGCCACCAGCATCGCAGCATTGGCGCATCGGTACCCCGTCCGCGGAATCAAAAGTAGCTGTACTCCGATATCCACCGCTCGCGAGAACCAACACACTTGACGACACCCGCTTCTAGCACTCTCCACCCTACCTACCCACGGCAGAAAACTTCAACAACGCGGCTCGCACTCCTCGAAATTCATAGCATGCTCTCGATGCCCTCGACTTCAGGATCATAGCGACCGGTTTTCTGCTGCTATTTCACCTCGTCCTCGCAGCGCTCGACTGTCCAAGCTCTGCCGTCGTCGCTCCCTCCGAAACGTGACCCATCTGGGATCTTGACCAAACGGAAATACATCGCCTCGGAAGCGTTCCCCTTCCCTTGATCACAGTCGATGCCAGCTTGCCAGGCGACACGGGGGATTCAGGCTCAGTGATTTGGGGAAGGGTCTGTGATACCCAATTGGGTTTGACAACAACTCGATTTTGCAACCGCTTTCGATTTTCTTCTCAAGGGTCATTCCTTGGCCATCGCCTGTGTCACACAATGTCTGCGGTGAAGGGATCTCAATTGCAATCGCCGTCACCAGCTCCGCTGAACCCCCAGATGCAGCCTTCCGATACCGGTCTTGCCCGACCTCAGGCCGTCCCTGCTCCTGATCGATTCATCGGGTTCAAGGAAAAGATCTCACAGCCTGTTGTCGCAGCATTTTGCGCGGGCGGCATTGCCGGTGCCGTTTCGAGAACAGTCGTCTCGCCGCTTGAGCGGTTAAAAATCCTGTTGCAAGTGCAGAGTGTAGGACGGGATGCTTACAAGTTGTCTGTTGGGCAAGCGCTGGCAAAGATGTGGAAAGAGGAGGGATGGAGGGGCTTCATGCGCGGCAATGGGACGAATTGCATTCGTATCGTGCCTTATTCTGCTGTGCAATTTAGCAGTTACAACTTTTATAAACGGGTAAGCAGTTATGGTGGCTATGGGGGATAAATGGACAAAGTCGGTGAAAGCTAACATGTTTCGGGGCGGCAGAATATCTTCGAGTCGTATCCAGGACAAGAACTGGCTCCCTTTACCCGTCTGGTATGTGGTGGTATCGCCGGCATTACCTCCGTCTTTTTCACATACCCCCTCGATATCGTTCGAACGAGACTTTCTATTCAGACGGCCAGCTTTGCAGAGTTGGGAGCAAAACCTGCACATATGCCTGGCATGTGGACCACAATGGCTCAGATGTACAGGACCGAGGGCGGTATGACGGCGTTATATCGTGGCATTATCCCGACTGTTGCTGGTGTTGCTCCATATGTACGTACTTGCACCAACTTCCAAAACTTGTCGCATACAGAGCACTAAACAGGTGTGTGAAGGTCGGTCTAAACTTCATGGTCTATGAATCTGTCAGAAAATACTTAACCTATGATGGGGAACAAAATCCCAGCGCATCAAGAAAACTATTGGCAGGTGCCATTTCCGGAGCTGTTGCTCAAACATTCACCTATCCATTGTACGTCGAACCCAATGCGCTGTATTATAGGTGACACTGCGTAGCTAACCCAATCAGTGACGTCCTCCGACGACGTTTCCAAATCAACACTATGTCTGGCATGGGGTACCAATACAAGGGAGTATTCGACGCCATCCGAGTCATTGTGGGCCAAGAAGGCCTCCGCGGCCTCTACAAAGGCATCGTGCCCAACTTACTCAAGGTTGCTCCCAGCATGGCCTCGAGCTGGCTGAGTTTCGAAATGACACGCGACTTCCTGACTGGCCTAAAACCGGAAGTTAGCCAACAGGCCTTGTAATACCATGTACAAACTAAACCTTTGGAGAACGAAGACAAACCAACATAGGAAATGCATTCACATGGGTGCGGTCTCATACATATATATTTTCTCTTTTATTTCCACCATCCCATCTTGCTTTGACCCCTACATTGTCCAAATTCTTATTATTTTGGTTGTTTACTTTGTTCAGTATATTCACACTTTTTGACCCCAACCCTTTTGTTAAGCTAGCATTTTGTTTGGGCGGATGTTTCACGTTAGAAAGAAAAGCTGCTGGGATCATGGGTGGAATCACATGGGGGATAAAGATGGCTATTTGCGGCTGAGAAAAAATCAAGACTCAGACTCGATCTAGATATCTAGACCGAAGGCCCGTAAGGGAAACCATGATAGCAGGGGGTGTGCGCGAGTACGGGCAGAATCCGGCATGGATAGACGGAGCCTGGAATAGACGAGCAACCTGCTCATGCGATGGCATTGACAAATGCTGACCGTTAATTTCATGTGTATTCGGGTGACGCTCAAGGACAGTGACGAGAATGGGAGTCCATCTTTTCAACCAATCCTCTGCTCACGCAGCCAAAGAAAGACGAACTCTGTAGGTTGATTTGACACGAGTTGTAGACAGCTCCTATTAGCGGTATGCTGTATTAACATCCACCCAGATAGCGTCCAGCATCCTTTACAATTCCACTCCTGTTCCGGGGCAAACGGCTCCACATTCAAGACCAGGCAAGTCATAAGTCACCAGCCCACTCACGTGCGTCCTTGCAACTCTCCCAAGCTTACATGTAAACCCTAACTGCCTGTCCTCACCGCCCCTGCCCTCTCGTCCTGTCAGCCAATCACAGCATCGCACGACTCCCCAGCCCTGGATTTTCTCGAAATACCTTTACGCTCGTCTGCCCGCAAACTCCAACCGAAGACCCCCATCGCCAACTGAACACCAGCGACCACCGCCGCCATGGGTACGTGAAAACACCATTCGATTAGCCTGCGTATGCGAGTGAGAGAGGCCACCGCATCAATTATATCCTTCTACTCGTGGAGAGTAAAGAATAATGGAAATTGATTGCGTGCCTCTTCTTGCGGTCGAAAGCGCCTCCCGGTCGAGAATTTTCCACCACAAAAATCGTCAAGTCCTCTCTGCCAACTACGTTCTCCTGAGATATGGGTACGATTGGACTGATTGAGAAGAGATGATTTGGAATTTTCCTTGACACCGGGAGAAGACGGCTTTCTTTTCAGAGCATGCTTGGAATAAATGGCTGACGATGGAAAACTTTCTCACCTTCAGGTATCGATCTAAACAGCCACCACGTCAAGGGCACTCATCGTGAGAGCCCCAAGAGCGACAATGTCTACCTCAAGCTCTTGGTGAAGCTCTACCGCTTCCTGTCCCGTATGTTACTCTTTCGATCCCGAAATTTTTACAACTGGAACTTGACGGAGATGATTTCTGGCGTTCAAAACACCAAAAAATCTCCACGGGTATGAGGAACACATCTGACAATTTCACAGGACGCACGGATGCCAGCTTCAACAAGGTCGTTCTCCGACGCCTGTTCATGTCCAAGATCAACCGTCCCCCTGTCTCGCTGTCCCGCATCGTCGCCAACATCGACAAGGAGGGTGAGAAGCGCACCGTCGTCGTTGTCGGCACCGTCACCGACGACAACCGCCTCCTGACCTTCCCCAAGGTCACCGTCGCTGCTTTGCGATTCACCGCCACTGCCCGTGCCCGCATTATCAAGGCCGGCGGTGAGGCCATCACCCTGGATCAGCTTGCTCTGCGCGCCCCCACTGGCAGCAACACTCTGATCCTGCGTGGCCCCAAGAATGCTCGCGAGGCTGTCAAGCACTTCGGCATGGGTCCCCACAAGAACAAGGTCAGTTTTTGTTTAGTCCTCGGTGCTCCGCCCCTCGATTCTTCGTAAGCCTGGTTTTAGTTTTTTGCATAGCAGAAAATTACGAACACGAATGGTTGTAACTGCCAGCCTTGAAAACAGTGACTAACTCCCTCTATAGAAACCCTATGTTGTCTCCAAGGGCCGCAAGTTCGAGCGCGCTCGTGGCCGAAGACGCTCTCGCGGTTTCAAGGTTTAAGGCGGCTAGGTAGCTGGAACGAAGGTGAAAATATCCTGTGGTCTGTGCCGTGTGAGGTGTGCGGCAGTGAATGGGAAGGGATGCCGGTTAGGCTTAGTAAATGGATCTTTGCATGGAACAGGCGCGGCTTGGTATCTCACGACAAAATACATGACTTTGCGCATGCTGGCTCTTTATTCATGTGTGATTTTTCTATGTGACGCAAATGCTTCATATGTCATCCGTTTAAAGTATGGTGTAATCGTCTCAATATCTTACGCGACTAGGACTCCCGTGTATAGTCCTGTTTATACAGTGGGAGGCAAAACGTATTCAAACAGATCAGGTACCTGGTTATCTTGCTTTACATTATCATACATTATAAGTAATGTATTAGCGTACACCTCTTGCACCTCTTGGTGGGTAAATATATTCTACCACGGACTATACGTTGCCGAAGCAAGCTATGATACACATGTTATACAGAGTCCTCAAAATCAACGACAATACCCGCCCTTCGCCTCAAAGCAATAAAGTAAGCCTCCTTGCTCTCCTATGCAACGTCAGTCCCATCATCGCAAAAAGCCAAACCGAAACAACAGACAAAAGCGATCAAGACTCACACTTCTCGAGGACTCGGGCTTCTCCCTAAACACCTTTGCAAACATCCTCTTCAGCCTCGCCTCCAACTTCTTATCCTCGCTCCCCTGGTAAAACTTGCACACAAGATGCCCACCTGGCCTAAGGGTATCGCTTGCAAATTGGAGCGCTGCCGCACAAAGGTCCTACTCTTGTCAGCTCCTCCATGTTCAAAACGGAAGCCCAAGACCAATTCAACCAAGAAGAAGAAAAAAGAAAGAAAAAAAAGTTCATCCGCTTCGTAACGCAACCCGAAGAGACGTACCATACTCCCTGCGTGGTCTCGAAACGCAACGCCACTCGTGTTCATCAGCCTGCGATACGGATTGGTCAACGTGTTGGACATATACCTAAAGCTTTGATTCCAGGGCGCTGACATGTCACTCAGAACAACCTGGAGAAAAGAAAAGTCAACACCAAACAACAAAACCAGACAGACGAAGCACTTACATCCACCGACGCCGAAGTCCCATTCCCCTCCCGCTCCTCGGAGGCCCGTCTCTCGCGATCAATATAGCTCATCGTCTCCCCATCGTCTCCCCTCTCTACCTTCTCGACAGGTCTCCCCGTCCGGGCGATAAACTCCCTAACAAGCCTCTGCACACTAGGCGACAGGAAGTCCCCCTGGAAAGTAGCCACGCCGCGCGGCGGCTGCGCGGGAATCAGGTCGATCCCAATGACCCTCCCATGCGGCCTGGTCCTTTCCTGCGCGACCTACGTTATTAATATGCTTTGCATTTCAAGCGACTTCCAGCTAAAGGGGGGTGGTTCTCATACTTGCGACCAGCTCCCCGGCGCGTATCCCTACCCCGCCGTCAGTGACTGAAAAAGAGACATGCGCGACGCGACCTCCATACCAAATCGACAACAGTCTGTCCGGGCTTGAAAAGCCTATACTTGGAATCCATCTGCAACGCATTAGACACGATGTCGGTGGGGGACGGTGTGAGGAATAAGATACCTCGAGGAGCTTAAAGGCGGCTCTGCTTTTTAAGCCTTGAACTTTTGCTTCTCGCGAAAACACGTCCCGTCCTTGGCGCTGCTTCCATCGCGAGTTGGATGATGACCATCGGACGTCAGCCTTTGGAGTGAATGTGGCTGCTGCGAGACGGCGAGAGCTTGGGCACTGGCCGGAGCATAGGAGGCTCAGTATCCGAAGGGGTTGCCGAGTGGTCATTGCGAGAGGACTGGTTGCGCTGAACCGATTTCAGCTACCTAGATCCCTATATCCAGCTCATCATTTGAAGCCTCCCATAGCTTGAGATTGAGAATCAGGTTGTGGTTGTTGTGTGATGTTGCGCTCGGTATTCCATGCAGAGTCTAGCTATCTTAACCCTGAGGTCGATGGATTCTAATAACTGGTAATGTGGGTCTCATAGACATGGCAACTCCAAAGTGGCTAGCTACCCTGGATAACTTATATAGTCTGGGCGAAAGATACCTGAAAAAGAACAAGAAAAAGAAAAAAACACGAAAGACGGGCTCGAACATGATAATGCAGTCAAATGACTGCTCAATAATATTACAAGACGCCTATTGATACCTAATCCCATGCCCATATATCCATAAAACAGAGAACACCACTAATGCAAACCCAATAACGCACATCCAATCACTCCAAGCTCGCTCTTGTACTCATCCAGTCATAACACCACCAAGTTACGCTTAAGCCAAGAAGCTAGCGTTAACACCTCTTCGATCCCTCTTCAAAGGTGAAAACGAGGTGCCTGCCGCGAACGCGTTCCTGATGCCGCCCCCGAGAACTGTTCGCGTCCTCCTGCCAGTGGCAAGCTGCGGCTTGGGCTTGGCAATCGCTTCGCCGTCGTCATCGTCAAATAACGTCGCATTTGCAGCACCCAGTAACTTCCGCTTCTTTTTCTTGACCTCTCCTTCTGGTGCCTTAGACTGCAAAACGGAGGTGGCCTTCTTGGAAGCAGCGATGGGAACATTCTCCTGGTCTGTGGTAGTTGAATTGTCGGTAGACTTTTCGACAGAAATGTCTGGTATTGACTTCACCTTGGGCGTTCCCCGGGATTTCATGACGCGGTTTGTCTTTGCGGGAGTGGACTCGGCGAGAGGTGCTGGTGTTGCCTTTGGCGGTCTTCCCCGAGTCTTTGTGGGTTTGGCTGGGGATTTGAAAGAAACAGTAGATTTAAAAGACACTTTGGACTTAGGAGCGGGCTCCTCCTCGTCCTCTGATTCTGAAGGCGGTCCATGATCGGCTGGCTCATCTGACGTGGGATCTGGATCAGCTTCTGCAGATACATTATTGGACGACTCCTGGCCAGACTCGTCTGTGAGTGATTTGTTTCGATTCAAGAACGGCGTGACTGAGAAGGCCGATTTCTCCCCAACAGTAGCCTTGTCTGCTCCACGTTTCCTCGTTGGTCTCTCCCGCGCGACAATGTCATTACCTGGCGTCTGGATCGTAATCGACTCAAAGTTCATCTCTGCTGCAGCACGGCGCTTCTTTCCCACGTCAGCTGTCAGGGCAGCAGCCTTCCTAGGCTTTTCCTCGCCTCCGCGGGGGACAACGTGCGGCTTGTCGCAAACCAGCTCAGATTGCGCGTCCTCTAGCTTCTCCTTTACGCCCTTGAGCTCAGATTGTAAAGCTTTAGACTTTTCCTTCAAACTAGAGATGCGCTCTTCCAGTCTTTCGTTTTCTGCGTTTGCCGAGGCCAATTCGCGCTCGTGCTCTTTTTTCATCTTCTCACGCTCTTTTTTCTCCGCAGCGAGCTTTTGTTCAGCCTTCTCCAGCCGCGATTTGAGTTCTGTCACTGCGGTGTCATCATCCTTGGATTGTAATCGCAGTCTGGACCGCTTTTCATTCTCCAGTTCCACTTCGAGAGAGTCTAGCTGTCGACGGAGATCGTTCCTTTCGGCCACTGTCGCTTGGAAGCTGGTGAGTTGTGACTGCAAATGTTCCAGTTCTGGTTTGATTCGATTCAGTTCCCTCGTCAATGCGAATTTCTCTTGCATGGCCTTTCCAGAATCCTGCATTGCGCCGTTTAATGCTTCAACTTCAGCCTAGAAGACGTCAGTGAGTGTGGCTGAGACGCCGCAGTCATTGTCGGCTTGCCATACCTTGAGACTGGCCATGTCGACATCTTGCTTCTTCAGCCGTGCCTCTTGGGCACGAATTATTTGTCTGCTGTCATCTAAGTCGACTCTAATTTGATCAGAATCTCTGATAAGTGTGCCAATCTTGAAGTCTTTCTGCCCAAGCTTTTCGCGCAGACTGGCGTTTTCATCTCGCATCGTCAATAGTCGTAGCTGCAAGAGTCGAGCTTCTTCGTCGCGGGTGATGGATTCAGTCTTGTGCAGGGCATCTTGCCTGAGCAATTCGAGTTCGTGAATGCGCGCCATGCGCTGGAATAAGTTAGCATCCACAGCCCCTACTAGAGACAAAACGCCGTTAAATACAATACCTCATTTGAGTTGCTGCCCATGATTGCTATATCTGTGTGGTCTCGCAGACACGCCAGACTGGCTGGGTGTGAGAAACCCGGGAAGTGAAGACTTTGAACGCAAGAATGTGTGCCCGTTGGCTGCAATCTCCGTGCAACCTCTGTTGTATGGGTTCAGTCCCAGATATAGTTGTCTGCCCGTTGTCGACCCTAATCTTGGCGGGTGGTGAAGCTGGCTGCGGGTGGCCTTGGGCAACTGTTTGGTGGTTCCGTGTTTTGCTTGGGCATCCCGCAATAGGAGTAAACATTTTGCTGATTTCAGCCTAGCGTATCCGTGCAGCCGTTGGTCTGGGATAGCGGGGTGCACGTGACGTCTCCATGGCGATAGCTGACTAAGCCAATTGCTGCTTGGCCAAGTGTGGCGTCCTCTGTGGCTAAGCCCTTGGCCAAGCCACCATTACCTGTCCACTGTGAGGACACCTCAGCTTCAAGTTCAATGTTGCAGACGGAGCTCCATGGGCTTCAACTCCCTCCCCAATTATCGCTTCTCTAACACGCCAATCGGCATCAACGACAGTTTTGCTGCTGTCCACGATGCGCTTCCTGCCCTTAATAGCTTCAGCCAGCGCGCTTGTCGCCAGTGCATTTGCCGCCGAGCAATCCAGCGAGGAGAGATTCATCAAGTTCAACCGTCTCGCCCGTCTCTCGTCTCCCCTCCAGCTCAACGATGTTTCGTACAAGTCGCTGACGAGCACACCACGGGATTATTCCGTTGCTATTGTCTTGACTGCCCAGGACGCTCGATTCGGATGCCAGCTTTGCAGGGACTTCAAACCAGAGTGGGAGTTGATCGCCCAGAGCTGGGCTAGAGGCGATAAGCGACAAGAATCTCGGCTGTTCTTTGGTGTTTTGGATTTCGCTGAGGGCAGAGACACCTTTTTATCGGTATGGAAGACTGCCTGCCGGAAATCATGGTCTACAGCGTTAACAGGATGTTTGTGCAGCTCGGTCTTCAAACAGCTCCCGTCTTGATGTTTTTCCCTCCTACGACAGGACCCCACGCCGTCGCTTCTGCCGAACCCATTCGCTATGACTTTACCACTGGGTGAGAAACGATAGCAATCGAATAAATTTTGTCCATGGTAGGCTAATGAATGAAATGCGCAGGCCTCCCACCGCTGAGCAAGTCCGAAACTGGTTGGCCCGCCATCTTCCTGGCCGCCCTCACCCTGAGATTAAGCGTCCTATCAACTGGTTGAAATGGGTGTCTCTCTTCACCTTTGTTGCTGGCGCCATCACGGCAATGGTCTCTGCGTCGCCATATATTCTTCCCATTATACAGAACCGGAATCTCTGGGCTGCTGGCAGCATGATTGCCATTCTCCTCTTTATTAGTGGCCACATGTTCAACCACATTCGAAAGGTCCCTTATGTCGCGGGAGATGGCAAAGGAGGCATCACTTACTTCACTGGCGGATTCCAGAACCAACTTGGGCTAGAGGTCCAGATCGTTGCCGCAATATGTAAGTTCCGACGGCAGTGCTCTTCACTGTGTAGAGTTCATTGATCTAACCCTGTCTTTGTAGACGGCATTCTGAGCTTCTGCACCATCGCCCTTGCCACCAAGGTCCCACGCATGACCAGCCCCAAGTCGCAGTCTGTTGCTGTACTGGTCTGGGGGGGCGCCATGTTCTTCATCTATAGCTTCCTGCTCAGCGTCTTTCGCGTCAAGAACTCAAGCTACCCATTCTCACTGCCACCATTCATGTGAGCGCACAGACCAGAATGCGACTCGGCTCACTTCCCATGATCCAGGTTGTTCAGCCAGAGTTCGTATGATGTTGCCATTGACATGTATCTGCAGAATCATAGGTTCCAAGTATAGAATCAGGGTCAAGGGCCGCCTCGATTATATGTGGGATGTGCATTATGAGCACCGGGGACACTGCATGTACACTATGCGAATCCATACAAAGGATGAATAAAGAAGTTACTCCAGAGCTCTTAGACCCACCGACGCACCCTTTTTTTGCACGTCTCTGTTTTTTTTGCGTGTTCAAGAGCTGAGTATACTGTATTGGCGACAAAGGCGAACACCGAACAAACATGAGAAGGCTTTGCATTCAAGCTATTCTACATTCGGGCTTCACTCTACTTTTTTTTTTAATTGCCCACTAACAAACTATAAAGCTAAACATACACGGGGAGTATTGAATACACTATAGTATATTAGAGTATACTTCTTAAGAGGCTAACACATTGTGCCACAGACTGTACAATCTCCAGCAATATCAGCTCGCCCAGGATTGAGTACATGACAGCATTTTACCCTATCCGTCGCGCGCGGTACGCTAATGCATTACAGCATCTGAACGACGCAGCGTGCGACCGTCCTTTTGTCGCAAAGCTCAGATCATGCCGCCGACCACCTGAATACCAGATCCGCCTGACCATTGCCGGTGGACCACCTCGAGACTACTACAACTGCCTTGTGAGATCCGGTCTCGAATTTTTTTTCCTACGCCCGCGCGATTTCCTAGCTCTGTTACGCGCATTTCCCTCGATGGCAGGACACACTCCGTCTCTACATTTTACTCGCACCAATAACAATGGCATTTCGATCCTACACGAGCTTGCGGCGACTGATCACGAAAACAAGCTTTTGGATGCAATACTTTTGGGGAGTGCTGCTGACGCAAACTCCATGTCCAAAGGCGGAAACAACCCCTTGTCCTATGCAATAATTTACAAAAATGAAAAGGCGACGGCGGCACTGTTGAAACGAAAAGACGTCGATGCAAATTCATGTTTCCCTCTTCTCCAAGACCAGACTCCCTTGATATATGCCATTCAAAAGGAGGAAATGGGCTTATTAACTTGTTACTCGATGGAGAAGGCGTAAATGTCGCTCAACCGAACGGATGCGGGAGAACACCGTTGTCGTATGCCGCCGAGAGGAGTGACGTGGTGTTAACAAAACGGCTACTGCCGCATTATACCGACACTAGCCACGTTGACGGTCAGGGCAGAGCAGCAATATCATATGCTGCTGCTAGTGGGAGTAAAGAAGTCGTAGAGCTTCTACTATCTCAGCATGGGGTCAACGCAGACCAGAAAGATAATACTGAGCGAAGACCACTATCATATGCTGTTGAGGCGCAGCATGAAGAAGTCGTCCGGCTACTGACAAGGCTTGGTCTTTATCCAGGCGGGAAGGATGACTACTGTCAAGAACCACTACTATCATTTGCAGTTTGCAAGGGTAACCAAAAAATCGTCGAGCTGCTACTTCCAAGGCCCAATGTTGACGCAGAGACAAGAACTAGCAGCAATCGGCTGGCACTGTTCGAAGCTGCTGCGAAAGGCTCTGCAGCGGTGGTGAAGCTGCTACCATCGCAACCTAATGTTTACGCAGACCAGAGAGATGACCGCAATCGAACGCCACTGATGCATGCTGCTGTGTGCGGAAACGGAAGCGTCGCAAGGCTATTACTAGATGAGTATTCTGTGGAGGCTCACTCGAGAAGCTTCCTTGGCATGTCGCCTTTGCGCTATGCCGCTGAGTCGGGAAATGTAGAGGTCATAAGACTGTTGCTGAATCATGACAGGGACGAAGACATCAGAGACGAAGCTTCAAAGTTGCTGGTAGAAATGGCGCGAGAGCACCCCGAAATCCTCATTCCGGAATTAGTCCATGATCGCGATACCGACGTAAACTATGCCGGCGGCCGGCACGCAGAGACGGCGCTATTCTGGGCCTCCAGATTAGGTTGGACGCCATTGGTAGAGCTATTGCTGTCACATCCGAATATCAACATAAACAAAGCGTCCGAGAATGGCACAACGCCACTACTGGCGGCCATCACAGGGAAGAATGAAGACACTGCAGTGCTATTACTGAGGCACGGCGCCAACCGCGCGACAGTCCTTACATGTAGCGAACCCAACTCCAAGTTGATAGTTACACCACTGATGGCTGCGATTGACTGGCAGCAAGAACGTGTCGTGGAGCAACTACTACATCTTGGCGTTAGCATGGAAACCAGAGATGCCTACCACAATCTACCACTGGTCGTTGCTGCACGGAACCCAAGACCGCGCTGCGTCAGGCTGCTGCTCGACCATGATGACAGGGGAAAAAACAACGCCACCTCGGATTTCTGTCTTGCCTTGCACCATGCCGTCAAACAGCTGCGGCCAGAAGCCGTAAAGATGCTGCTCGACCAACTCAATGGGCGAGTCCCCACGCCAGAAGGGCTTCTAATAGAAAAGTTGCCCATGTTATCCGACCTGTTAAGAAAACGATTCCTTGAGATGCTTCACTATGGAATTTGGCCACAATGCGTGGGAGATGAGGACGTAAACATGTGCAACCACGAGCACATCGTCAACGCCATGCTGGGCATTAGGGACGACGGGCTCACCTTCATGATTAAGAAGTCCCCCTTCTACATAGCCCTTCGCTGCCAAGTCTTCGCAGCACAGATGTTGCTTGATCGGGCGGATGCAGGCGCCGACTGGAGCTGTTACCACTTCCCCTGGCCGGAATCGAGGGGCGCATTTGCCGAGTATGAAGGCATTGTGAAGAAGCTCCTCGCCCTGCGCGATGACCTGACGCCAAGACAACCTGACGCCAGTGCGTTGGGCTACGGCCGACCCCGTAGTCGAATCTTACTTTAATGTTATCTGGGATTTACTGCACGCGCCGGAACCCGCTGTCAATGTCGTCTCTAAGGATGAACTCACCGAGTTATTATATGCGATAGGCACTGGTCCCCATGTGGACATGACATGGTGGTTGGAGATGTAGCTAAACTCCAAGAAATGAAGGTGTAGTAATAAGGGTTATTGTGGGGGAGTTGGAGCTAACCGGGAGATGATAAGACCCCAGCCGGCTCTTAAGGTGGGAGGCAGCAAGTATTCAACCAGGTCAGTACCTAGCTATCGTGCCCTACACTACAATATATTATGGTATGTTGGTGCGTACTTCTCTGTGGGCAAACATGTCCTGCCACGGACTGTGTCAGAAGAATGTTTTTCTTTGTTTTATCCCAGCCCTTTTTTGCTTTTTGTGTTATCAATCGCTTCTAGACTAGACTGGAGAATCGCTTGCACTCTGTTCCTATAGTTGAAGTTCAAAACTCACACACGCTCTGCTTTTATAGACCAGATTAGAAAATCAATTAGACACTTTTTTCCTTGACCCCACGCACGAGTGTTTCGCAATGTTGCAAAAAATGTCGAGTTCTTTATTGGAAGAACATGCCATGCCATGCCCTTCAGAGGCTTTGCCTAACCAGCAGCAATTGCGTCATACGCCTCGTCAGACAGAGTTCATTGTGTTATTGTTCCCCGTTGATATTTGAATTTTTTTCTTCCTTCACCTATCAAATAAGAGAGAAAAAAAGTTACAAAACCAACCGAGGATGAAGCCAGCCATATGACGCCCCACCATGATCTACCATTCTTTCCACTCGATGATGCCTCCCTGTCCTTTCCCTCCCCGGTTCACTCATCAGAAGCGTTTGTTTCCCATTTTGTCTCACGCGCTCTCTCTCTCTTGTCGTGCGCAAACATTACACTGCGTTGCTTTGCCAAAATTTTCTTGCATGTCTTTTCTCTCTTTTTTTTTTGGTTCTCTTAGCCCTAGTCTTTAGTTACAAAGCAAGGTGGGGGAGTTTAAAGAAGAAAGTTTTTCAAGAAATTTATGCCCTCGACATGACGCCCCAAGCACGGATGATGTTGTCAGTGTAACCAGCGAAGAGAGTCTGGCCGTCGCCGGACCAGGCAAGGGAGACACACTCGGGCTCCCGGCTCTTCTTGCCGACGGCGGTGAACTCGGGCTTGAGCTCGTCGACCTTGGACTTCTTCTCGAGATCGAAGACGATGATGCTGCTGGCGGGGGGGGCGCACAGGCC